CTGGCTCAGGAATTCTGGGAGTTGAAGTCCACCAGTCATAAAGCGGCCTAGGCCAGGGGTAGGCAACCTTGGCTCTTTTATGACTGGTGGACTTCAACTCCCAGAATTCCTGAGCCAGCCACGCTGAGGGGAAAGGGAGAGGTTTCCAAGCTGAGTCATGCTGGCTCAGGAATTCTGGGAGTTGAAGTCCACCAGTCATGAAGGGGGGGCCATAGTTTCCTCCATGCTGGCTCAGGAATTCTGGGAGTTGAAGTCCAAGAGTCATAAAAGAGCCAAGGTTGCCTACCCTGGTCTATCCCAAGCCAAATCAAGGTTAAAGCTAACCATGCGTAGCCTATAAATAGTAAATTGCAACCGGGAGGAAGGAAATGAGGACCGAAGGCACGCTTGCCAGCGTGTCTCTGCGCAGACACACAAACGCACGTGTTCTCCTCCTCCTGGGCCCCCACCTCTTGGTGCCGATCTGGGGAAGGGGTTAAATTAATCACAGTTAGCTTAAGTTAAACCACAGTTAGGGAGGCGAGGAATCGGGGAATCAGCTGGCTACCAGGCAGTCCTCGACTTTACGACCACAACGGAGCCCCCCCCCCCAATATCTGCCATTACATGAGACATTTGTTGAGTTTTGCCCCAGTTGACGATCTTTCTCTCCACGGTCGTTAAAATGAATCACTGATCAGTTAATAACCTGGTTGTTAAGTGAATCTAGCTTCCCCATTGACTGCTTATCAGGAGGTCACGTGACCCCGGGACCCAGCAACGGTCGTAAGTAGGAACCAGCTGCCCAGCATCTGAATTTGGATTGTGTGACCGTGCCGGAGGCTGCAAAAGTCGTAACTGTGGAAAAAAAAACGGTCATAAGTTTCTTTTTTCCACGCCGTTGTAACTTTGAACGGTCACTAAGGGAACTGTTGTAAGATTAGGACTGCCTGTGCTGAGTGTGTTGTGTGGCTCGGCACCGCCTCTGTTGATGGCTGTCCATCAACGGGGGTACCAATTTTGCAATCCGAGTAGAGGTAATCCTTGTTTTATGACCACGATTGAGGCTAGGATTCCTGTCACTAAGCGAGGCAGTTGTTCAGGGAGTTACAGGTAGTCCTTGACTTATGACTTTAATTGGGGCTGGAACTTCCGTCACTAAGCAAGACGGTTGTTCAGCGAGTTGCAGGCAGTCCTCGACTTAATGACCACAATTGGAACTGGAATGACTGTCACTAAGTGAAGCAGTTGTTAAGTGAGTCACAAGCAGTCCTTGAATTAATGACCACAATGGGAACTGGAATGACTGTCACTAAGCAAAGCAGTTGTTAAGTGAGCTGCAGGAAGTCCTCAACTTAATGACCACAATTGGAACTGGCATGGCCGTCACTAAGTGAAGCAGATGTTAAGTGAGTCACAAATAGTCTTTGACTTACAACCACGATTGGGACTGGAACTTCGGTCCCTAAGCAAGGCAGTTCAGTGAGTGGCAGGCAGTCCTCGATGTAATGACCACAATTGGAACTGGAATGACCGTCACTAAGTGAAGCAGTTGTTAAGTGAGTCACAAATAGTCTTCAACTTATGACCTTGACTGGGACTGGAACTTCCGTCGCTAAGCAAGGCGGTTGTTAATCGAGTGACGGATTGAATCTCGACCAGGTGAGCACGGGGATGCTGCAACGGTCGTTAAGGGCGAAAAATGGTCATAAGTCTCTTTTTTCCCACGCCGTTGTCATTGCGGTCACTAAATGAACTGTTGAAACTATGGGCAGTCCTGGACTCGCCCCAGTTAGTGACCATTTGCAGTGCCAACGGGATTGGAAAAGTAATTTTTCAATCCATTTTTCACCCTGGCGGCCATTGCAAGCCTCCCTGCGCTCACCGGATCAAAATTCATGACTCGTACTTACGACGGTTGCAGCGTCCCGGTGTGTGGGTGTGTGTCACACGATTCCCCTTTCGCGACCGTCTGAGAAGCAAAGTCACCGGGCAAGCCAGTTTCGCTTAACGACCGTGTGACGTAACTTAACCATTTCATCCATTCACTTCCTGACGGTGGCGACGAAGATCTTAAAAATGGGGCAAAACTCGCTTAGCAAATGTTCTCCCTTACTGACGGAAATGTTGGGTCCGATGGTGGTCATAAGTCAAGGACTACCTGTCGACCATTGGGTAATCAAGCAGGTGTTCCTCGTGGCTTGGAGCAGGGCTTTTCAACCTTTTCACCCATTGTGCCACTTTTAGGATATGGCAACATCCAAGTACCACCAGTCGCCTAGCAAGGTGTCAAAAACTTGATGACCCCCAAAAAAAAAGAAGGAAAAAAGTGATGAAGTACAGGTAGTCCTCGACTTACAACAGTTCGCTTAGCGACTGTTCGAAGTTACAATGGCACTGAAAAAAGTGCCCCCCCCAAGCCACAGCCGAGCAAGACACCTGCCTGCCCGCCTGGCGGCGCTCTTCCTCCTGTCCGCGGTTTTCATTGTTGTGAGCATTTCTGTTGAGGATTGGCAGCGGGGGTGGGGTGGGGGTGGGTGTTTAGTTTTTATTCCCCCCGTCTGCTGGGTGGTTGCAGCAGGTTTTGGTCACTTCACATGACCCTGGGACACTGTGACCGTCATAAATACGAATCAGTTGCCAAGCATCGGAATGTAAATCACAAGACCCTGGAGAGGCTGCAACATTCCAGCTGATCGGCGCTTCTTCTGGGCTCAGCGGAAGCGCCAGGATCAGCGCCGAGCTCCAGCTGGATCCTGGTGCTTCCACTGAGCCCTGATAGCCCCGAAGAAGCACCGATCAGCTGGATCGTGGCGCTGATCCTGGCGCTTCCGCTGAGCCCTGACAGCCCTGCAGCTCCACTCATCTCTCGCTCAGGCTTGTGCGGTGCTGCCACCGGTTCAGCTCATTCCCCTCCCCCGCTACCACTTTTCTAGGATGGTCGCGTACCACCTGCCAGGTGCCCATGTACCACAGGTGGTACCCGTACCACTGGTTGAAAAGCCCTGGCTTGGAAGTCCTCTCCGGGCCAAGGCTAATCATCCCTTCGCTTGTGGTCCCAGACCGTTAGCCGTAATTCTCCTGGATTTGAAGTTCGTGGCCATTGAGGAGCAGGCAGAAGGAAGAAGGAAGAGTTGGCCAAGGGTTGACTTGATGGAACTCCAGAGAAAGTTGCTAGGATGGGATCTTCTCCGAACAGCGTCTCGGCCCCACAGGGGTCCTTCTTGAGTAGGGACGTCAGGAAGATGCTCAAGACAGATGGGAAGAAGGTCTCGGACCTCTTGTCTACTGTCCTCCAGCTCATGGTTGTCCCCTGGTTGATGTTTCAGGAGGCCACTGGACTTCCTTGTTCGTCTTTGAAGACGTTTCGCTTCTCCTCCAAGAAGCTTCTTCAGCTCTGACCGGATGGTGGGGGAATTTATACGCCTCGTGGACAGCCGGTCATTTGCCTCCTTTGGGAGAGTCGTTGAGGCCACTTGGAGGTTTATCCAAGTCCACATTCTGGACAGCTGGGTTGAAAGAGGGGGTCAAAGAGGCCATCTGTGTCCAAATTGAACAGCCCTTTCTCAACAGAGGTTGAGGGATACGGCATCATCTATCTCCAGTCTACAACACAGAGAAGGCTCCACGCCCATTTGCACCACTCAGGTGACCCTGAAGACACAGATAAACCTCCAGGTGGCCTCAACGACTCTCCAAAAGGATGCAAATGACCGGCTTTCTGTAAGGAGTATAAATCCTTCCCTTCCCCACCATCCATCCAGAGCCGAAGAAGCTTCTTGGATGAGAAGCGAAACATCTTCAAAGGAAAAACAAGAAAGTCCAGTTGCGTCTTGAAGAAGCACCTTTGGGACGTGGGACCTCTCACACAGGACACCTCTTCTGGTTGCGTGGCTTCTTCTCGGTCAACTGCTTGGGTCTCTCCTCTTAGCCTCTTCCTGTTGGGGTGGCCGCTCATGAACTGTCTGTGCTCTGACTTTTTTTTTTTCTTCTCTTTCTCTCTTCCTCTTCCTCTCTCCTTCCTCCCTTCTCTCTTGTAGGGGTGGCGGTAAGCACTTACGCCAAGTATTGTTACAGCAAGCTCCAGAAAGCAGCGTTGACGGGCGCCAAGAAGGTATCTTTCCACACACACACCCCTCTTTTGCGTTGTCCTTCGAGGTGGCCTCGGGAGATGGGA